TGGAGGGCCCACACGAGATGGTCGTGACTTCTCCCAGCACAGCCCCTTGGAACATGCCCACTCCTTCCTTGATTTCCCACCTGGCCTATTTGACCCCCTTCATCTGCTTTGGGAAATGGCACATCTGTGGAAGTGGTGACCCGGGGCTGATCTCGCCACGGGCGTCTTTAAGGAGCCTGTGTCTTTGCTGCAGACGCTACCATCATTGTCTGCCTGCCTTCTGTCGGAGGTGGATGTGTTCTAGAATCATCTAGAATGTGATGTCACCGTTCGCAGTGGAAGGCAGAGGAAATCAGCCCCGTTCCTAGAAATGTGCTTTATCGGAGAGAGTGTTTTCTTAAGGGATTCCTATACTCAGAGTTTGACTTCAGTTTCCTTTTTTTTCCACATTCTGATGTGAGACATTTAAATGTTCATTTGCACATTTGCCTTTACAATAGAAATAACCTCTTTCTGCTTTACCAGATTCTAAAAATGCCACATATGCATTGGAACAAGTTAAGCAGTGTGGTGCTGGAAGTGTTAGATTCCCTCCCCACCACCTCTCCCTTCGACCCTGTAATCCAAGCCAACTGCTTGAAAATTGTGCTTCCTTGTGCTTTTTAGTTTTTGTTAATTAAAAAGAAAATCTCATGCCTGTAAGCCCAGCACTTTGAAGTTAGGAGGATCACTTGAAGCCAGGTGTTTGAGACCAGCCTGGGCAACAAAGCTAGACCCTGCCTCTACAGAAACTGTAAAAATAGGCGTGGTGGCACGCATCTGTAGGCCCAGCTACTCAGGAGACTGGTGGGAGGATCCCTTGAGCCCAGGAGTTCTAGGCTGCAGTGAGCTGTGATTGCACTTATGCACTCCAGCCTGGGGACACAGTGAGACCCCATCTCTTAAAAAACAAGACCAAAAAATGGGACCGTAATTTATACGGCATTATTTTAAAACTTGATTTTATTTTCATTTTCACTTAATCCAATAATTACTTCATTGTCTATATGCTTTTTATCAGCCATGGTGTTTTTAACTTGCATTTTTTACTCGTTCATTTTAGTCTTAAAATCCTTGCACGTTTGATGACTGCTAAATTCTTGCATACGGAAATTCGAGAAAAAGGTGGCGCTTACGGTGGAGGCGCAAAACTCAGCCACAGCGGGGTTTTCACCCTTTACTCTTACAGGTGAGCTTTGCTCCAGTTCACACATTGGGACGCACACGGTGTTTCAGTTTTCTACTCATGATTATCTGTCATTTTCTTCTACTGCAGTGAACTTTAGACAAAAGTTGTTCTATGTGCTGCTTTTCACTTCTCGAGCACTTAGCCACACCCAGCAGTGTCCTTTCTGGTGCAAGGATTGGGGCTAGCAGCCTAAACGGGAAGCATTCTGCCTGCAGTAAACCCTGGCTTAAGCCAGCATATTTTGGCAGAACACGGTAGTGCCTCCATCCATGGTTTTGCCTTCCACGGTTTATTACCCAGTCACCCTCGGTCTGAAAATATTAAATGGAAAGTTCCAGACATAAACACTTCCGAAGTTTTAAATTGTACACCATTCTTCTAAGCAGTGGGATGAAAGCTGACGCTGTCTACGGTACCTGCCTGTTGGTCACTCAGTAGCCATCTAGGTTATCAGATACACTGTGGATATCCAAGAGCTTCTGTTCACAGAACCCTTGTTTTACTTAGCATAACTTTTATTACAGTATAATTGTTGTATTTTGTTAATATTTTGCTGCACCTAATCTATACACTTTTTCATAGGCATAGGAGAAAAACACAGTATCCATAGTGGCTGTCTGAGGTTGCAACCCTGCTCTGGGGGGCTGCAATACAGCCTGAGAACATTCTTAGCTCATTTCAGTTGGAGGTGCCTGATGTGGATGCAACTGTTAGCTTTCATAAACATAACACCGTTACTCTAAAACAATAAATTCTTAATTGTCTATAGCTTTGCTGCCCAAGAGAACATATAACACTTTTTAAGAAGGAGCTGGCCACCCGTGGTGGCAAGTGCCTGTGGTCCTAGCTACAGGAGGCTAAGGCGGGAGGATCCCTTGAGCCTAGGGAGGTTGAAGCTGCAGTCAGCAGATTGTGCCACCACACGCCAGCCTGGGCGACAGAGTGAGAGCCTGGCTCATGGATGCAGAGATAGATTAGGTAGGTAGGTAAGCAGGCACGTAGGTAGAGAAGTCGGTAGCCGTTGCCACGCTGCTGAGTTCTCCCCCTTGCTGTGCTGGAAGCCACTCTTCTAGACAAGGATGGGGAAGCAGCTCACAGCCCCTCTGCAGCTGTGAGTCAGGGTGGAGGGAGGGCTGGGCTCTTTCCATTTACACAAAGGGAAGTCTGGATCGGCCCCCTCAGGCTGATTCCTGTACTACCCTGGGTGTGTCCTTAAGGGAGATTAAAGGAAAACCTTTGTTTGCTTAATTTTGTGAGTCTTCTGTAATTTCCTTGTAATCTTGACCTGCCCCCACCCTCCACACCTTTCCTCTCCTGATGAGGTCACAGAGAGGTGGATTTAAATAGTCTGGGGAGGACGTTATGCAGACAGCCCCTGTCTAAGAGGGAGAACGTGTTGAAAGTCTTATGTGATGGGATTTAAATTTCCACTGAGAGTAATTGAGCAATTTGTCAGGCGGCTGTTTGGACTAGATCAGATGTAAAATAGAGCTGTTAACCCATAGAAGATGGTGAACTGTTAAGTCACAGGTTTGTCATAAACTTGTCCGTTGGTAAAATGCTTGCCTGTTTATTTCTCTGGGTTTCCTAGGGACCCAAATACAATAGAGACGCTCCAATCTTTTGGGAAGGCTGTTGACTGGGCAAAGTCTGGAAAATTCACACAGCAAGACATCGACGAAGCCAAACTTTCTGTCTTCTCAACCGTAGATGCCCCTGTCGCTCCTTCGGACAAAGGTATTGTGAGTGTAACAGCGAGAATCTCAGTCCACAGCCTCGCAGATGACGTTGCTGTTTTCCGAGTCCCTCTTGCACAGGCAGGAGCACCAGCTTCTGGCGTCTCCGTCCTTGCCTGTGATACGATTTCCACGTCTGACACCCTAAACATTGGCCTTGGAAACACGCTTCCGGACATCCGGGCGAGAAGAGTGCATCCTGTCATTTCAGTTTTACTGACCTGAGGCCCAGTGGGGCCAACCCACGGCAGTGTCTGGGCTCATTAGGGTGGAAGGACGATGTGGGCACGGCCCAGGCCTGGCCACATTACTCTGTAGAGCCACTTTTGCTCACAGCATTATCAGCCTCACGCAGCCCTGACTGCATCCACACTGCAGAAGCAGGCCTTGGTAAGAGTCAGCGTGGCTCGTGGGAGCTGGAGGTCAGGGTGTGATCTCTGGGCTGTTAGACATGTCCCTGTGGTTGAAACACGTACGTGAAGTAACAGTGAGATGCACCTGTCCCCTCCGGGACACGAGGGCACAGCCCACTGTGCGAGCTCCTGGGCGGCAGCCCCACTGTGCCTGTGGTTTGTCTTCTAGGAATGGACCACTTCTTGTATGGCCTCTCGGATGAGATGAAGCAGGCCCACAGGGAGCAGCTCTTCGCCGTCAGCCACGACAAGCTCCTGGCTGTGAGCGATAGGTGAGTGGGGAGTGCGGGAGACAGCGCCTGGGATTGGAGGCCTTAACAGCACTGACGCAGAAGCCAGTCCTTGCTGACCTCGCCTGCCTTCCTCTCAGGTACCTCGGCACTGGGAAGAGCACGCATGGCCTGGCCATACTTGGACCCGAGAACCCCAAAATCGCCAAGGACCCATCCTGGCTCATCAGATGAGCAGCCCTGGTGCCCCCGACTGCGCAGGAGCCCCTGAGAGAACAGGCCTCTAGAGCTGAATATGAAAAGTCAGAAATGCTACTGCTTTTTCCAAGAATATTATGTCATTCTTAAGGTGTTGCCACAGACTGGCAAGTCAATCTTAAGAGCGACCAGGAAGATGTCCATTGAAATAGTCATGCATGAAATGCCAAAGATGCACCACGTAGAATTTTCACTTTCTACTGACAGAAAGGCTTGTTTTACCTCAATTCTAGAATATTTATTTTAAGAATCTAAAAATAAAGGGCAACTCTGACTTAACCTCTGCTTGAGTCATTATTTTAAGTAGCATTTAGGGCCTTTACTAAAAAACAGAAGTAAAATGAAAAGGTACACAAAGGTGTCCCATGCCTGCCTGTGCCGATTCATGAAACTCAATCACACCGAGGCCCTGTGGGAGCGTCCTCCTAACAGACGGAAGTTCAGCGGGGCGGCCGGATGGAAGCAGTCCTGAGAAGCAGGTGGGCTGGGGTGAGTAAGCGCTCGCTTCGTCTTCACAGAGCCAGAAAGGAAAGCCTCCATGCCAGCTCTTGGCCGTTGGACTCTGATTTCCCAAACAGCTTGTTTTCGGCGTCTCCTCTCCCTCCACACAGCTCTCCGCCACCGTTTCTGAGGCACAGCTGTGGTCTCTTGCAGACTAGAGCTAGGAGGCAGAAACGCTGTCCCGACAGGAGGGGGGGTCCACGAGGGCGGCAGGGCCGTCACCCCAGCACCCATGTCTACTCTGGCAAGAGTCATCGGAGAGTTCCAACCTAGGTCCCAGCGAGGACCATGGCTTGGACTGGATGAGAAACTGGCTATCAGATTTTTCGAACCCCCACCTTGGTGGTTTTAGCATGCAGCTAGGATTGCAATCAAGAGGCCGAGTAGGTAAGATTCATGTGTTCTCTTTTACTTTCTAAGGAGAGCAAGAGCTTGGGGTCGAGGCCCAGGGTCCTGGCCTGCTGCTGTGGATGGAAACTGACACATGGCAAATATGTAATGGTAATAAACATGGCGTTCCCCTTGGCCTGTGTAAACTACTGGCATTGTTCTCCTTTTATGACTTATGCATAGTTCAGTGATCTCTAAAAATATTTTTATAATCTTTGCCCACAAAACTGCTGAGAAAACCATTAGTAGCCACCCATAGATTGAGGTTTTAATCTCCTACTTAAAAAACGAAAACGGAGGACTGTTGGAGTTGTAGGCAAACGTTTAATACGCACATCTGAAAGCATGAGACAGTCCACAGACGGCACGCACTGGAGCTGGTGGGGCACACGGGCGGTGACAGGTGCTTGCTGGTTAGGTATTGTCAATAATACTTGCATAAAGTGCTGATAAATAACTTAAGTGTTACAAAAACAGATGGTCCACGGTGAGTCCAGGTTGCAGGCACATGCAGGCAGGACTGGGTCAGACGCTCCAGGGCTGCACGTGCTCTAGCTGGCCTGAGTCCGACACGTCGTAGCTGGCCTTGTACTTGGCCAGGATCTTCATGAGGGGCCGTAGCTTGAGCCACCACTGTTCTTTGGGAATCCTGTGCCTGTGGAGGGATGGGGGGACAGCAGTGAGGCTGAGAGATCCCACGGCCAGCACAGTGAGTGGCCTTGCCAGAAACACGAGGGTTGTAGGGTCGGCTGAATCTTAATTTCAGGGTCAAATGAAACCATTGTTTTTATATTTTTAAAACTTCTTCCCAAAGACCTAGTGGTGGTTTTTTGTTGTTGTTTTGAGACAGAGTCTTGCTCTGTCCCCAGGCTGGAGAGCAGTGGTGCAATCTCGGCTCACTGCAACCTCTGCCTCCCGAGTTCAAGCGATTTCTCCTGCCTCAGCCTCCCGAGTAGCTGGGACTACAAGTGTACACCACCACGCCCGGGTAATTTTTGTATTTTTAGTAGAGACGGGGTTTCACCATGTGGGCCAGGCTGGTCTCTATCTCTTGATTTTGTGATCCACCCACCTAGGCCTCCCAAAGTGCTGGGATTATAGGCATGAGCCACCAGCCTGGCCAAGACCTAGTATTTTTTCACTGAGCTTCAGAAAAGCTAGTTTCTCAAACCACTGAATGAGTTGTCGAAAGCAACAGCAGTGGCCATTCCCCTGTCCTGTACTCACATTGGCTGGGTTTGCTAAGGCAATAAGACCCCAACTTACTCAAAATCCGTTTGCTGCTTCAGCTCTGCCACAGGTTGAAAAATAACGTTTCTTTTGCTTATTCCCAGCACGCAAACGGAATCATCGGTGGTAAATTTTTTTCCTATAAAAGGTTTAAAAAAAGATTAACACCCTGTCACATGGGTGGCGGGAGAGCAGAATCACGAGGCGAGATGAGAAGTGAGATTCCTGGGAACCATGCTGAACCTGGCCTGGAAGCCCGGGTGAGGCTGAGAACAGCCGCGCAGTGTGGCCAGCACCTGGCCTGGGCTTGCGCAGCTCTGCTTTTGTGGGATCGCCCTGATGGCTTCCTGGAAAGCAGCTTTTGTGTTTTCCCTCAGTGGAGAGAATTTTTCACTAAATAGTAGAATAGGGAAATTAGCTTAAATTACGACAAAACACTAATAAAAAATTGATGCTCACGAATACACACTGAGAGGCGAGAAGCATCCATAGCTAAATTAGCAAAAGAAAATCGATGTAGAACGAATCAGTCAGTTCTTCAAAAAGACAAACCAATTGAAACTATTCACATCAATGCTTTTGTAGACTGTCATTATTCTATGTCGGACGTTGGCAGTGATAATGGTTTGCCCTAAGAAAAGCACACATCTGGTATGACTGAAGAAAGCTGAGGGGGGTGGGGGCGAGAAAGATGCTGGCACAAACAGCCACTCAGGAATGAGTGGGGACCAGCCACATTGGAACCATTAACAAGAGTATTATACAAAATGTCATGTTTTTTAAAACTTTTCAGTTTATCTAAAGATTTGTTAGAATATGTAACTTGCAAAACTGATTTAAGGAAAAACATGCATAGTTCTACAAACATGAACAATTCATTCAGCAGCCAAATCTTCCTCAAAACTGGAAGTTCTGACGGATGGAGTCCCAAGGAGGTTGTCCTACCAAACATCCAAAAAATAGAAGGCCCCACTTAAACTGTGAGGGGAACTGCAGGTTGAATCTAGCAGTGATCAAAGAGAACATGTCACCCATGCCCAAGCTGACCTTATCCCAGGAGTCCACGGTTGGTTAAATAGCAATGCTCAGGGACCAGCAGGAGTTAGAACATCACACGCAGCTCAGTACTGGACTGAAGAAGGAACCAGCACACCCTACTTCTCCCCGGTAGGACAGCATTTTCACCAAGGCAGACGGCCTCCCTCCCCGGACCCCTTACCTCTGCCCCGGGCCTCCTTGAGTTTCGCAGTGATCCACTCCATAGCTCTGGCAGAGATTTTGGTTCCAAAGTTTCTATCAAATGGAGAGGGTGCCCCACCCTGTTGGTGGTTAGAGTCATATGAAATATCAGTTACACAGTAACACTTTGCTGTTAAATAGAAATGACGATTTCTATTTCACAGAATTCATGTTTTTATTTCTAGGTCTTTATGGATAGCTGGAACAGAACAAAACAAGATCTGTGATTCCTGTAGTCTGAACTCAGCCTGTGAAGCACAAGTAGCAAGTGTTCCCCCTGCCCAGTAAGAGGAGGATTTCAATAAATGGAACGAGTCAACTAACAATCTCCAATATTTTAAAATCTTCAATCAGGATTTCATAAACTCATCTGGGGTGGGGATGGGTCGCAGCTTTAAGAACCTGATAACCGTTGTGGATTCTTTAACAAAATCATTCATACGCCTACTATTTCATCATCATTTCAGGGGATTCATGAGCTCTCTGGAATAAATTCACGGGCTCTGGTTTAAAAGTATAAAGAATAGGAGGTGGTGAGGAAGGAGTGTGTGCCAGTTAGGAGGCCTGGACTGCTGTGTCCCAGGCTCAGCTCATGACATGCGTGTGCCTGCATGCAGCTCATTCCAGGTCATTCTGATTTGGGGTGAGTGTTAAGTATATTACATGTCTGATAATCCATTTTAAATCTGAGGAAGCTCCAGTTTTTAACTTGATGAAGTGTTTAATTTGAATAAGCATTTCCAAGTAATGGGGTTGTCATTGTTCTCATGAAAGCTGACAGCTCCCTTAAAATCCCCATTGCTCAAACCTCACCAACAAAAGAATCCTAAAGCTGGTGATGTTTGGCATGACTTAAAAGTTTAGATGTTTTGGCTGGGCACGGTGGATCACGCCTGTAATCCCACCACTCTGGGAGGCTGAGGTGGGCGAATCACCTGAGGTCAGGAGTTTGAGACCAGCCTGGCCAATGCGGTGAAACCCCATCTCTACTGAAAATACAAAAATTAGTTGGGCGTGGGGCGCCTGTACTCCCGTCTACTTGGAAGGCTGAGGCAGGAGAATCTCTCGAACCTTGGAAGGCAGAGGTTGCAGTGAGCCAAGATCGTGCCACTGCACTTCAGCCTGGGCAACAGAGCAAGACTCTGTCTCAAAAAAACAAAAGTTAAGATGTTTTTTATCATCTTGGAATTTACTTATACATTTTCCCCTAAAATGGCTAAAACAAGACCCTAATCTTTAAAAATCACGCGACAGTGGCCTTGCGGGCCCCTCATGCGGTCTCGGGCCTACCTGCTGCATGTGGCCCAGCACGTTCTTCCTGCAGTCAAACACGCCTTTGCCCTCTTCCGAATAGAGCTGGTAAATGAAGTCGGTGGTGTAGTTTTCACTGCAGCTCTCATTTCTGAAACAAGCAGGAAGGAGCCACTTTGTTGAGTGTGCAGTGGGCACGTGGCCCCCTGCTTGGGGAGATGGCCCTGGGAGGCTGGCCTCCCGCGTCCCCTGACCTACGGTGATTCTGCATCAACGCCAGTCCCTCCAGTTCACGGTTTGGCTTTCTGCAGTTTCAGCTACCCATGGTCAAGTGGTCAACTGAGGGCCACAAATATTAAATGGAAAATTCCAGAAATAAATATATAAGTTTTAAATTGCACACCATTCTGTGTGATGAAATCTCGTGCTGTGTTGCTCTGTGCCACCCAGAACGCGAATCATCCCTGTGCCCTGAGTCTCCATGCTGTCTGTGCCTCCTGCCCCTGAGTCAGTAGCCGCCTTGGTTATCAGATGGTTATCAGTACCCACCCCCTCATGTATACAGGGGGCGGGTACTATCCTTAGGTTCAGGCACCCACTGGAGTCTTGGGACACATTCCCTGAGGCTAAGAGGGATGACTGTATTTCCTTCTTCCTTCATAAACATCAGGTGCTAATTAGAGAAATGATTGCGAGATATCTAAAAGAGTAAGACTATAAAGCAAAAATTTTAGTTGTCTAAATGTGGGCAAGTCTTTAGAGCAACGCACCACCACTCTCTTCTGCATCTGCTCAGCGTGTAGTGCACTCCGGTGGCAAAGAAATCACCACTCATCCAGCCCAAAGTCACAGACCAGAATCTAAGAACCGCGGTGTGACGGTGACCGTAAGATCAGCCCTGGTGTCTCGCTCACCTGAGCACAAGGCCCCTCTGGATGGTGGTCTTCATTTTCTCCGTCAGGTGCTCCACATTGGACTGGAAAAGAGTATTTTGTTAATCAGACAATAAATTTCTGCTCAGCAGCTACTGTGTGCCAGGCCCTGCAGGGCGGGAAGTGCCAACCACGCATGGTGGTGAGCGTGGCCAAGGAGGCTGCAAGCTCTCACAGCTCGGGTCTCGGCGAGCCTTCCCCAGGCGGCAAGAGCACGTCTGTGGCAATGAATGCCGAGCGCAGGGCACTCAGGTGAGCAGCCCTCA